TACACCCCTCCCACCCCCTTTCCTGCGCCGGCCAGCCCCCCACCCCTTCCACTCCCTCCCCCTTTTTACTGGTCACAGGCTGGGGGCTGAACAAAGAACTTTGCTGCTGAAGCCTGACAAATACTCAAGGTAGCCATAAAGCTGGGGGGTTTGTGCGTTCTGTGCAGTTTTATTATTTTGTTTTTTCTTCCACTTTCTAAATAATGTTATGTAAGTGGCTAGGGCAAAGAGAATACATTGTATTCTATTATAGATTGTATTCTATAATAGAATACATTGTATTCTATAATAGAATACATTGTATTCTATAATACAATGTCAACTTGCACTTGTGACACTGTCATACTAGTCCACAGCCTAAAATGGGTAAATAAAAATAAAACTTCTTGAAAAACTTCAGTGGTGGGACAACTCTTAGATGCTGTTACTGAGAACACGGTTCCTTTGAGCTTTCTGCTGCCTGGAAAAGTTGTCAAATTAAAAAAAAAAAAAAAAAAAAAAAGCAGAATAATAAGGCAAATAGGCTTCGTTCTTGGAAGAATGAAATGAGCTGTGCAGCTTTGACAGCCTGGGTACAACCGTTTTTCCTCATAACCTTTAAGGTGCCATATCCAGCTCTTTAAGGGGGGTGTTAATGTTTCTCTGGATGTGGTGGGAGCTTACTCTTTTCAAGATGGCTGTATGAAGTGTTACCAAAGTGTAAGACTGCTCCACTCCCCTTTAAATGCTCAGAGCAGTACCTTACAGCAGAGACACCCTTTCTGAATCCAGCATGGAAGATCCTCAGAGATTATGCTCCACCATGAAAGAATCACAGAAAAATAAAGTCCTGAGATAAGGGTCCTTAAACATTCTGGACCTTAGAGCTATCACTAGCTTTACAACTGCTCTTTTGCACTCATTTCTTCACCATTTCAGTTAGAAACACTGTTCATTTCATTCGTCCTTGTAGCTCAGCAGGGTAGTTGGGAACCACTCACCACAGCCTTACAGATCATTTTGGGGAGCATTTTGGCAAATCTCCACCTACGCCTTCACACTCCATGAGATACTTGCATGGACACTGGAACTAATCTGCTGTCTTCCAGTTCATCATTGTGGAACTACACTGTATTGTTTCAGGCTCTCGGAGTACTCACCTGGACCAGCATTATCCACTGAAAACTTGTATTTCTGTATTTTGGCAATTTGCTTTGCAGGCTGTTTTTGAGTGATAACTGTCTCTTTGTTATCTTTATGCAAACACTGGAAACAAGTGAGATACAACAGACATTAGTCTCATTGCTTATTGCATTGCTGGAGAGCAAGTAGACCCATAATAACATAACTCAAGTGACTGATGAACTTGTATTTCAGCTAGCTGGATTAAAGATTATCTGGATACGCCTACTTGTGCTGTAGCATACTCCAAACTGCAACTCTGAAATCCCATTACTGATTTAGCAATTTGTTAGCTTTGACCTTGGACAAGATCACATTCTTGCTAGATCACAATTTTCCAGTCTTTTCCACAGAGACTGTGAATTACTGGAGTGATTCCTCATAATTTCGCATATCAATTTATTTAACAGCGCGATGGTTTTGATTGAAGTACTTACTACACAAACTACCATTACAGTAATCATAATAACAAGCCAGTTTCCTATTTCTAGGAGACATATCAGTCACAGAAAGCAGGTGAGGGATAAGGAGGGTTACGGGTGAACTTAATTAGCTATGCAACATAAACTATAGCTCTTCAAGTCCTTTTAGGTGGGCCAAACAGGATAACAGCCAGGAGTGACGGAGTTGTGGTTACCACTGTAGCAGGATGCTCCCCAGAGCTCTGGCTACAGCCTGGCAGAGAGAGAGAGGAGCTCAGCAAAGCCTGCTTTTGCAAGACCACAGCATTTCTGTGCTTAGAAAAGGAGGGAACCCTCCCTCATTTGACACAGTCCTTCAAATTCCCTCTAAACTTAGAATGATTTAGCGTTGTTAAGTTGCATAGGATGAATTCTAGTCTCAAACAACTCACAAAAAGGTGTGGGAAAGGTAAAGCAGAAATCCGGACACTGGATCTGACTGGTCTGTACTGGTAGACAATGTCATTTCAATCTTGCACAATAATATTACCAATACCAAAGTAGCTTCAACTATAAATCAGAGACATGGGTTTATAGCTGTCACAGTACTGTGTTGGCATTGTTGCCAGAAAATTTTGCCACCATTTGGCATGGCGCACAGAACTCTATTACTCTATCATGAGTAGCAGCCAGACCCCTGCACCTTTCTCCCCATTACACCCTTCAGCAGGGAGGGCACGACAAGGATTCCCTGGCAATATAATATCTGCCTGCCGGGAAAGAGGATGGAGGACTTGGCTGTGTACATGCTTATACAGGGAGACATATCTGCTGGCCATCTCTGGCCCATGATGAAATGGGAAATGGCATGTTCTCCCTCCCCTCTAAGGCTGAGTTTGGGAATAAAAAATGCAGACGCTGCCCAGAGACCTGCCCCTCTGGAGGAAAACTTGTCATTGGAGCTCTTTTGTGTTTTTAATGATTCATGTCATGGATTTACCACCTGCTGATAAAAACCTGAGTGTTGCTTTAGCTATAGCAAATGATAAACAGAGGGAAGAGAGTCTTTATGTCTCAGGCTCACAGGTTTATATGCATAGGGAAGTAACCTGGACTGTACAGAGGATCTGAGAAACTGTAATTCAATGCCATATAATCAAAACTTTAATAAAATCAAGCATTATGCCATAACAAGACCAAACCTGGATTTCAGGTGCTGGGTATCTGCAGCTGGTAAGCCTCTGCCGCAGCTGAAAAGACAGAAATGGGTGGTGAATCCTTCTAAACGCCCAGGTCTGAACACAGAGTGAGAAATGCTCTACAGTTCTGAAAGAAGCCATGGGGAGGAGAGAATTACAACACAAGGCAGGAGGGTGGGGATGGAAAGGCAGATAGACAAAGTAGCAAATACTGACAACAGAGGTCAGGGAATGGGAGACAGGCATTGTTAGGAAAGGGGTGAAGGTGAGCAATGTGATCCTTGGAGTTCTTCTGATTGGTACCAAAAAGTCCTAAGTGCTTTACAAAGAAGTTTGCAGAGTCTGCCATTAGCATACTTGTTAGCTTGGTGCATGCATGACAGACTGACTTTCCTTTAGTCTCTGAGCAAATCCATGTAAAATGCAGAGGTTTTCCCACTTTGGTTCTGGAAGGATGTGTTAGGATGTGGCTCCTGCAATTCTCTCTTCTAGTTTTGCCAGACTCACCAAGCCAAGAAGAACTCAAATGGATTTCTGGGCATGTGCCTACAATAACATGGACCAGACTGAGAGCCCTCCCACAGAAACACCCGAGTGGTGTCTCTGGTTCACAGCTTGTGATACCATCTCCCCCAGCTTTTAACTGTAATTCTCTTCCACAGGTAAGTCAACATGACCCACCAATTCCCACCGCTGTCTCCAGAGCAGAAGAAAGCTCTTTCAGACATCGCTCAGCGTATTGTGGCTTCAGGAAAGGGGATCTTAGCTGCAGATGAATCAGTGGGTGAGTTCTGGATATCAATCAATTAGCAGTACCCAAGACTTTTTCTCTTAAGTTTGCTTCGCCTTTGAAATCAGTGCAGTAAATTAAAACCACTTAAAAACTGTTGACTGAGCAAGAGCAACTCAGCCAGGCAGGGCTGCATCTGTAACAACAAAAGCTGACAAACTATGGACTGAGAAGGAAAACTCTGAACTGAAGCCCCAGTTCATGACTACATACTGCGACCAGGAGGCTGGGCAAGCTGCATACCTCTCTGACCTTTGTCCACCTCTCTAGGTACCATGGGGAACAGGCTGCAGAGGATCAATGTGGAGAACACAGAGGAGAATCGCCGGGCTTTTCGAGAGATCCTCTTCTCTTCAGATGCTTCCATCAACCAGAGCATTGGGGGAGTGATCCTCTTCCACGAGACTCTCTACCAGAAAGATAGCAGTGGAAAGCCATTTCCAGCTCTCATCAAAGAAAAAGGCATTGTGGTGGGAATAAAGGCGAGTACATGTATAGCTGGCAGCATGTTCCAAGTCCCATTTCCTGTAAAAATTATATATGGGGCTGCACTCTCTCCTGCCATACACTTTTTTTCCATTTTGTGCTTGATTTTTCAAATCACTAGAGGATCTCTGCTATCATTCTCTGCATTGTTTTTGTATAACTAACCAGGGGGCCATTTGCATTTGAAGTAGGAACTTTCCACCCACTAAATCCCATCTATTCAGCCTTCACTGCAATTAAATCCCGTTAGGCAGTAACCTAAACCCAGTCCTTTCTATATCTGACAGAGCTCTCCAGCAGTTCCCTGCAGCCATCTACACATTGCCCCTTCCTCTTACCCCAGTTCACTCCTTTTCTTCGCCTTTGCTCCATTTCCCTCCTTTTCACCCTTAGTGTGTTCAGCCCCCTACTTTACTTGCAGTCAGCCTGCAAAGACACTCTTGCCATGGGTAGGAAGGTAAGGATGAGACCAATCTCCATCTCTCTAGTAACCCTTCCTGTTTTTCTGGTCTCCACAGCTGGATAAAGGCACAGCACCCCTCGCAGGAACAAATGGAGAAACCACCATCCAAGGTAAGGAGAAATCAAAGGAGCCTAAGTTATCACTGGTGCAGCAAAGGCCATGGGATGGCTCATCCGAGTCGCAGCCTTGGCTGGTGTCATGGTACTTTTCAGAGCTATGTCCTGAAGAACTGCTCTCAGTGAATTTCTTTCATCTGCAGGGCTGGATGGACTGGCTGAGCGCTGTGCCCAGTACAAGAAAGACGGTGCTGACTTTGGCAAGTGGCGCGCAGTGCTGAAGATCACCAGCACAACACCCTCTCAACTCGCCATCCAAGAGAATGCCAACACATTGGCACGCTATGCCAGCATCTGCCAGCAGGTATCTACCCTTCAGTAACCTTTCCTGAGATGCTGTTGCCCCTTCTCACTGTTCCCCATGACAACATGCTAGGTAATTTGAAAGGTGGATTTTGGCAAGGAATTTTGGGAAAGATGAGGAAGAAGGGCAGTGCAGCAAAGAGGAATACCAACAAAGTCTGGGTAGACAACAAGAACAGTTTTTCCTTCACACTCCTCAAAACTTCCCTGTTTTTCTTGTCTTAGCACGGCTTGGTGCCCATTGTGGAGCCAGAAATCTTGCCTGATGGAGACCATGATCTCCAGCGCTGTCAGTATGTCACAGAAAAGGTAAGAGATTCCTGGCCCTCTCCTCCCCTTCACAGATCAGTAGCTCATCTTATACAGAGTTTGCGTTCACAGATCTCAGAGAGTTTTGACCAAAAAGGTCCTTCATAACTGCATCACAAAAATGAGTTGCTTATGGTCAAACAATGAATTAATAGAAAACGCAAGAGTAGAATCCGTGCGTTTGGATTCCCACTCTAAATGCCAATATAAGCATTCTCAAGTCTCAAAAAGATGGACTGGAAGCAGAAGCACTTACCCCTCCATCAGCACCTCAGTTTGCAGGGACAAATCTAGTAAATGGGAAGAGTGGTATCCTGGTGATCTCAAAAGCAGCGGTGCCTCCAGGGCAGCAACCCCTGTGATAAATTTTGTGAGAAAGCAAAGTTCAATCTGAGCTTCTCACACTCCCAAGAAATAAGCTGTCTTTCCACAGCAGGCTGAGGTGAAGATTTGAGCAGACGTCTGCATTCCATCCTTCTGTTTTCAGGTTCTGGCTGCTGTCTACAAGGCATTGAATGATCATCACGTGTA